TTCATTTCTTTTTTTAATAAATTATTTTTTAGAACAAATTCAAATTCTTAAGTTATATCTTTCTTTTTTAATGAATTTCAAGCTTCTGTACTACAAGTAAATTTTCTATTTCATCTAAGTTGTCAAATGTACTACCATAAACTTTTAAATAATTTTTCCTTGCAGTCCCTTTAATACTTGTATATTCTGTATTAATATTAGCATTTTTCTGATATTGGTAATTTTTCTCCCCCCCTTCTCTCTTATTCTGACTATAAAATTTTTTTAATCAATGTTATTGCTCTCTTCCTTTTCTTCCATAAGATCCATATTGATCTTCTCATTGTGCCAATCAATAGCTTTATTCAAATGTTTCTTTTTTATTGTTGTTATTCCATTGAATTCTTTTCTTTTATTTATTCCCTTTCTTTTACTTAATTTGGGCCCAAGTTACTATACTTTTCTTGTTAGAAAAAAATTATTAATTTGAGACATTTTTAGTGTTACAAATTTCCCCATGTGTTCTGCTTTTGTTGCTTCCCGTTTATTTTGATATGTTTTCAGTTCAAAATAATTTTAATTTCCATTTGACTTTTTCTTTGATGTCTGGTTATTTAGACGTAATTTTTTTTGTTGAATCCTAAAAGATGTTCTAGAAATTTTCTGTTACTGACTTCTAATCTAATTCTATTATGGTCAGGATACCTACTTTGAATATTTTTAAATTTATTGAGACTTGTTTGGGCCAAAATAAGGTCTTAGTAAATGTATGTATGAACATGAAAAAGAATGTGTACTCTGCTGTTGTTCTAGGGAGCAATAAGTGTCATCAGATTGTTGTTCTAGGGAGCAATAAGTGACAATCAGGTTAAGTTGGTCAGTAATGTTATCCAAGGCTTCTATAGCATTACTGATTTTTCTATTGGTTCTGTGAACTGAAGTATCAAAATATCTAAATGTAATTGAGATGTGTCTAATTGTTCTCTAGTTTTATCACTGTATTTCTAAAATTGAGGTATAACTCACATAAGTTTAATTTAATTGCATAATTCAGGAATTTTCAGTAAACTTAAACAGTTGTATAAATCTCACCAGAATCCAATTTTTAAACATTTCCATCACTCCAAATAAGTACCTTATAGCCCTTTTCAGTCACTCCCCCTGCCCACCCCAGTCAGACAACTACTAATTTAATCTCTGACTCTATAGATTTGTTATTTCTCTATATGTTGTATAAATGTAAACATACAACATTTAGATTGTGCATCTGGCATATTTCATGAAGCATAGAATTTTTAAGATCTAACATTATATCACATACAAGTACTTCCTTCCTTGTTATATATAGTAATCTGTTGTATGACTATACCACATTTTATTTATCTATGCACCAAGTGATGAATATTTAGATTATTCCCACTTTTTGATCATTATAAATGCTGCTACAAATATTCATGTCCAAGTTTTTAAGTGAACATTTATTTTCATTTCTCTTGAGTATATTTCTAGAAGTGAATTGTTGGGTTATGCGGTAAAATTTACTTTTAATTTTTTTTAACAAACTACCAAACTACTTTGCAAAGTGGCTATAGCATTTCACACTTCAATAAGCAAATATATGAAGGTGTCAATCTCTCCACATTTTTGCCCATATTTGTCACTGTCTTTATTACATTTATTCTAGAGTGCATGTGAAGCAATATATCATTGTAATAATTATTTGCATTTCACTAACAACTTTTGTTGCTGACCACATTTTCATGTCTGTATTTGACATTGGTATATTTTCTTCTTTAAAAATGGCTATCAAATTTTTGCCCACTTTTAATTGCATTATTTATCACTTGTTTTTCAGTTTTAAGGGTCCATTAAATATTCTGAATGTCAGTCTTTTGTCAAACACACAATTTTCAAATATTTTCTTTTAGACTGATGCTTGTATATTTGGATTCTCACTAGTGTCTTGGAAACTCAAATGACAATCTCTGTCTTTTAATTGGGATATTCTGACTATTTAATCTGGTCATTGACTTGGTTAGTTTATATCAACTTGCTATTTATCCCATCTGTTTTGGGTTCGCTTTTACTATTTTTCTGTCTTAAAGTTGTTTTTTTTTTTTTAAGTTCCATTTATCTTTTCTATTGTCTAATAAATTATAATATTTTGTTTTGTTGTTCTAGAGTTTATACATCTTTAACTGATTTCAACTCCTTTCAAATGACATCATATTACACATGCTATAATTTAAAAACAATATAATCCCACACTTTCATTTTTCCTTTCTCAACCTTTCATTATTATTATCATATACTTTACTTTTATGTAAGTTGCAAATGTTATACTACATTGTCATTAGTTTTGGTTTTTTGTTGTTGTTTTTTATGTTTTTGGTGTTTTTTGTTTGTTTGTTTGTTTGTTTTGTTTTTAGGACTGGGCATTGAACCCAAAGGTGCTTAACCACTGAGCCATGTCCCCAGTCCTTTGATATTTTAGAGACAAGGTCTAGCTGAGTTGCTAATTGCCTGGCTAATCTGCTGAGGCTGGCTTTGAACTAGCAATTCTCCTGTCTCAGCCTCAGGAATTGCAGGTATTACAGGTGTGTCCCACTCCACCTGGCCTACATTGCCATTAGTTTTGATTAAACAATTGGTTAATTATATATATATATATATATATATATATATATATATATATATATATATATATACAAATCTTGCATATTTATCAATGCAGTTACCATTTATGTTTACTCATTCCTGTGCACAACTATATATTCTATATTTCCATCTGGTCTCAATATTCTATCTGAAGGACTTGTTTTAACACTTGTTTTAGTACCTCTTTCCTGATGAGTTCATTGAGGACTCCTAAGTCTGAAACAAAGTCTTTATTTAGACTGTGCTTTGAAATGGTATAGAATACTAGATTGATTTTATTTTCTTCTTTGAGTTCTTGCACTAAAATGAAAAAAATTGCAAACATCCTTATTTTTGATCCTCAGTTATGTACTGAGTTGTTTTGTTTTTTTCACTCTGAATCCTTATAAAATTTTCTTTTTACCATTTCTTTTAAGGCATTTAATTCTGATGTGCCTTCTCTGGTCCTATTAAGGTTTCTTGTGCTTGGAATTCACTGAGTTTCCTAGCTATATGGGTTTATGTTTTTCATCAAATTTGAAATTTTTTCAATCATCTCTTTTTATCTCCTCCCTTATTTCTCACAGAGAATTAAATTATCTTTACATTAGGCAGCATCAAGTTTTCCATAGCTCATAGATGTTCTATAATTTTTTATATTCTCTTTTTAAATTTACACGTCATTTTGAATTGTTTTTATTGCTGTATCTTCAAGTTCATTAATTTTTTGTTTTTAAACTGTTTATTGTTATTAATCCTAATAAGCATATTTTATTTCAAACATCGTAGTTCTCATTTCTAGATGTTTGATTTGGGCCCGTTCACATTTTCCACATGTCTAATTAACATTTTAAAAATTGGAATACATTTCTAGGAACTATTTAGTATCCTTATCTACTACCTGTAATATCTATGCCACTTCTTCTTTAGTTCTGATGACTCCCCCATCTTTAAAAAAAAAACCGACCAGATGCTGGTCATTGTGAACCTCACATTGTGAATGGTGTGGATGCTTTTGTATTCCTGTAAATTTCTTTTTAGCTTTCATCTGCATGTAGGTGTTTTACCTAGAAATATACTGATCCTTTTAATTTATTATTTTAATTCTTTGTAAAAATTATTCTATTCATTCTAGAGCTGATTATTCCCTACTAGTGAAGGCAGAAACTTGAATGTACTCAACAGGCACTCTTCACAGGCACTGTTACTTCTAATTCTTTTGGGTGCTCCTTTCCCTAGCATTAGGTAAATCCCTCACACTTATGTGCCAATCAATATTCAGCTGACTTATTGAGGTGGTTCCTCTGAAGATTTCTGGTGTTCTTTCTTTGCAGTGTTCTCTTCTCCAATACTCTGTTTTGTGAATTCTAGGTCCATCTATTTAGCTTATGAAGTACACGGGATTCATTTGAGTTCTCTCCCCGTGTACTGTCACCAAGAATGTCTATACCACATTTTAGTAGTAATGTCTATACCTATTAAAGTGGCAGGTTTGGACAATTTTAGGATTTAACTTATTTCTTTCCCTTTTCTTAGCAATTACTATCCTTAATTGTTTGATGTTCAGGGTTTTTCAAAGAGATATTTCAAGTATTATGCACACTTTTGCTACTGTTAACACAAGATAGATCCACCTTACTATAAATAATAGGGTTCTTTCATAGATTTGAAACTTTAGTATTCCACTCCTACAGCTTCTTATAATTACTTCCTAATCTTTTGAAGAAGATCATCTTTTTAAAATATAGAAGTTAAAATTAAACATTTTAATGTTTACCGTAATAAACATATTTAAAATTATCAAAACCAAGGAAAGTCCACTGATTAGTTAAAAAATTTATAATCAATATATAATATACTGGCATATGCTCTATAAATGTGTAAAAAATTTCATGATACATTATTGTAATAACACTAAGGATATTCAGTTTTTCTTGGAATAAAAGGCAAAATTGCTAAAATAATGGAAACTACAGCCACCATGGTAGTTTTAATGGCTTTAATTCAATGTTAACATTTGTAACACCAGTGCCCCAGAAGTAAAAAGTTATAAATTCTAATCACTTATATAAATTTTGAAACAGTATATACTAAAATGTACTTAAATGACAAATGATACTATATTAAAGGAGACAAATTAAACACAGTGACATTAATAACCATATTTCAATAAATGGTCTTTAATATCTTTCAAAATAAAAAAAGGGTAAACATGAAGATACTGGAAAATTTCTACAACAGAAAAAGGAAGTTATCGACACACTGGTTAGGAAATTAACACACTGGTTAGGAACACAGTAGCCAAACAAAGAATAAAACAACAAAACCAATTAAACTCCGCAAATGGATACATGCATTAAACACTGGACATGCTAAAAATTTACCTGAATTATATGAACATAAGGCTTTATCTGAAAAAAAATGGTAAGGTAATGTCAAAAGTACATTTTAAAACCTTTACATGTATAGGGTTGTTGAAATCTAATTTCTACTTTATAGTACAGACTACATATTTTACCATTCTTATGTTCAAAATATAAAAAAAAAATTTCTGAACAAAATAAAATGAAAATACAACAGATCTGAATCAGAAAAAATCAAATTATAAATTATGTTATTAGAAAGCTTGACCAAATTCAAAGAATTACAGGCTAAAAGATAGAAATTAGTAAGTCAAGGTACAAAAAATCAAAAATTAATAATAAACTGCCCTACTCATATTAATGATTATGAGTTCTATGTTATAACTCATGATTATTTATATAATCTGAAATCCAAGAAATAATTGTTAGAAATTTAGCATGAAAAAAAAAATACTGTTCATTTTGGAATTCCTGATTTCTATTTAAATATTAAATTTCCTTTAGGGAAAGACAACTTTCAAAATTATAGGGGAAAGGGTATTTTAGTCTTTTATCACAAGTTCAGAGGATACAACTTGTTTTTTACTATATATAAAGAACAAAATTTATAAAGGCAGCAAAGTATTAATAAATTGTTTTCATATTGAATGATGAATAAATTGTCATCTGAATACATATTAGAAATTTAAGGAGCTTATAAACTAGTATGTCATAAAAACAACAAAGTAGGTAAAAGATGCCATAATACCTGAAAAATGCAAAGGTTTATCCTGACATATTTAAGTTGTTAGTAAAATGATGATCACAAAAGAATAAAAAATACATATTCACAAGTTATTAAAGAAGCTATTTTTTAATGTTCAATTAAAAGTTTTTAAATTAAGCATATGATTTTGAACCTTGTTTAACAAATGGAGAAGAAGTAATTTTGGCATAATTTCACAACAGTGATCTGTTCGAATAGTAACCTACATAGAAGTTGAATTACATAGTATTTTAAAGAAAAGAAAGAACTTTACTCTGGACATACTATTGAAAGTATAATGGGAATAACATAGGCTGTAAGTATAAATGACATTTCTTAAAAACAGAAGTATAAAGTTACAGAAAATAGGACAGAAAAAATATAGTAGATGTGAGCAGTTTTATAACTACTCTACCATTTAACTAGGACATGTTTTTATTAACTAAGGATTAATTAAACAGATTAGATGAAATTAGGATTAAGCAACCTAAATGACAACAAAGCAAAAATTATTAGGCTTGACCAATACTTCCTATCACTCTGCCAAATATCAAACTTATATTTATATTTAAAATATATTTAATATATTCATCTACATATTTTTAATATCTATTAATATTTTCTTTGAGTATTCTTCTGTTGCTTTCATAAAGAACTTGATTATATACTCATTTCTGTTTCTCTAGCCCTTTAACACTTAAATGTAAAACATTTAAGTTGTGTTAATTCTAAAGTTAATTGTAGTATGTAAAGTGGTAATATATTGGTAAAGATATAACAATCACTTCTTTAAAAAAAAAAGTAAAAATTTGACTTTAAAGGTATTGGCCAATTTCCATAGCACAGATATTCCAATATGATCTTAAAAGCTACCAAAACGTTGTCATTGAAAAGAAGAGAACACAAGTTATATAACTGGCTCTGGCTGTAGTATACCAGTGAATAAGAAATATTAACTATACTGAAACTACAGTATAAAGGGATGTAGAGGATACAAACATAAGCAGAAATACAAAAGACTAATGATAATTGAAAGTGTCAAACCCATTTATATTAAAAAAAACTCTTCATAATGATGAAGAATCTCAATGCCCAAAAAGTAATGAGAAATAATAAAGTTATAATAATCTTCCTAAATAAGCAAAAGAGAGTATGAAATCATTTAAGGAAAAACAATTTGTACAACCAATACTATGCACATGTAAGCAGTTGATACAACCAAACTGAAATATAAAGAGGTGATCACAAAGTGTGTAGCCAAAAATTGTAGATAAAAATGCCATAGAACTGTATTAATAGTTAATAAATAAAAGTCTATTTAAAAAATAGATTTAGCAGGCACAAATGGTGTGACTCGACTTTGTGTACAACCAGAGATGAGAAAAATTATGGTCTGTATGTGTAGTACGAGTTGAAATGCATTCTGCTGTCATGTATAACAAATTAGAATGAATGAATGAATGAATAAATAAATAAATAAATAATGGGTTTGATGGCTACAGTGTACATAATTTTAAATCATAACAATAAATTGTTATATAATTAAGTAACTTCCCAACACATTGAACATAATTACAAATTTACAGTATTGTCTATTAAAATAGTATTTTATATTCAGAAACAATGCTTTCTCAAAAAATAAATTTTAGGATTTCAGTTGTTTGTAGACACCTTCGTATCATGTTAAATGTCATTTTCCTAAAATATTTAGAATGATGACATTTGCAGTCATATTAATTTGCCCACATACTCAAACATGTTAATATAACATGATATAAGTTTCAACAGTTCGTGTTTCACTGTCAGTAATTTAGACCATTTTAATTAGTTTGATATCAGGAGTCAAAATATTATATTATTTCTCAAACTCATAGATCTCAACACTAAATCAATACATAATAAAAGAATAAAAGATGCTCACCTTTTTAAACTATAGCTCTTTCCCTGAAAATACTGGAAATTACCTACTTTGTCATTTATAAAAGAGGGTGGATATGGGAGTTTTCTGTCAAGAATATAATTCCATCATCTTTATACAATTAGAACTTTTGCTCATTATTTAAAATTCACAACTACAAAAATGAGAATAAAATATCAGATGTCAGAATGCTTCAAGTTATTGAAGTTATTTTTCTTGCAGAAATTTTAATAATAAAAACTAAAAATATAAATTAGATACATGTGTATGGGTGTAGCAGATATTCTAAATTATATATATAAACTATATATAATCTATATTCAAGTTGTCATGCTGAAGTGTTGAAAAGGAATTTTGATGAGAGGTGGTAGTAATTATATATGTGTGTGTGTGTGTGTGTGTGTGTGTGTGTGAAGATATATATAATGATACTCCCTAGTTAGAGACTATTACCTTCATATTCTGCAGAAAACCTACAATCTAAAAGCAATCAGACAAAGAGAACAAAGCTACCCCCAACCCCCTAAATTTTTCCATTGCAGATTGCTGCCTTAACTAACATTTACTGTATTTAATTGTTCTCTAACTCTAATAAACAAGGTAGGTAGTTTTTACAGTAAATAAAGGAATCCCTCTACCCCACAAAGCACATTTTTTTCAGATTGCAGCACATCTAAAAGAGATAATAAATAAGATGTTACTGTACAATTTCTTTCATATCTCTTCTCTCAGATTTATTTTAAGATGGTAAATCTCCTAATCCTTGACACTCAATGTGCTGCAATAAATCTCACCATACTAATTAAAATTATTTGTATTCTCACAAATTTACTACTTTTCTCATCACAATGTAGTTCATTTTTACTATTTCAAGTCCAGTTTAAATGCTCATCACAGCTTCCATTTCTAAATTACTTCAGCATTCCAAACTTTTAATTTTTATATCTCTCCTTCCTACAATATATAAAACTTATAAAAGTCAAAAAAGAAGCATGCCATGATCATGCACTGAGGTATATTTATGTTTTATTATCCTTGTATTTTCCCCTCCAACATTTTAAAGGGTATAATGAGCTTTGTGCTTCTTTGAATTAAGGAGTCCATGTTTCAGTTACTTTACTCTCCAAACTCCAAATTTATTAAGCAGATTATATGAGGGGAGAATGAGATTATGTTTGAGAGGAAAGAGGAGAGAATGAGATTATTCTAGAGGGATATAAAGAAGGCAGCACTGTTAAAGTTCAAAATTTTCCCAGCATTAGCAAGGAGACAATGGTCAGAGAATCCTGGAATTAAAATGAATTCCATATTGAGAAACTTTCCAACCGGAGACAAGCAATGGTTAAGATTCAGGTTGCAGTACCAGAGCAGCAGCTCACTGATGTGGCTAGACATTCTGGATATTAATACTGAAGCAGTCAGATTTCGCAGAAAGTCCTATTCCTTGACTTGATTTTAAGTAACCGTTCATCAGGAGCAGTAAATTGAATTATGGCCTTTAACTGTTCTGTGACAGGAGCACACCTGTGCTGGGAACTCTTGGTACAAGGCAACAGTTGAGACAGCCCAGTTGTTATGATAATGCCCTTCTCAAAAGGAGGTTCTGGTCTTAACCTAAGTTCAGATGCAAGCTGCCAGTAGTAGACAATTATGAGGGCAAGCTAATAATTATAATTGGGCTGCTGGTCTTCCATCTTAGTCCTATGTGCTTTGAAGAAGCTTTCTCACAGAAAACCCTTTTGATGTTAAAACTTACATAATAAATATGCTGAGCTAGCTCTGGGTCATTATATCGCCATCAGGGTGAAATATTCCACCTGGTCTCAGCTTTCTCACTATGTGTGTCTGTCGGTCTTTTCTAATACCCCAATCACCCATGCCTCGGCCAGTTTTCTGAATTAATGGTCATGCAGGTTGCAGTAACCACTGTATACTGGGACTTTTCAGTGAGGATCAATAAGGATTTAAAATTAGTGGACCTTTTTTGATTTTTCCTTTTTATTGGTTTCCAATTCTTTCTATTGATAAGTAAGAGTAAGTAAAGAAAAAGAATAATGACAGATATTTGTTAACCTGAAGACAAAGATACCTCAGAATCACATTAAATATATTATTGAAAAAATAAAGTGCAGAACAAAAATAAAGTGCATTTTACATTCAAGTTTGTAAACAGGAGTATGTCTGCTACCAAAGTATAATATATCAATTAAAAAATCAATCACCATAAACATAAAATTTAAATATTAGTTGTTGTAATTAAAACAATGGGGATGTCAAAAGAAATCATGGAAGGAGGAAAAAAAGATAAGTTAAAAACAAATAATACTATGCAACATATTAAGGCAAACTTATAAGAACTGCATTAAATGTAGACACATGAATTAA